TGAATCCTAGCCCTACCCTCTAGCATATCTACTGTTCCCCGCAGCTTGGTGTCATCTGCAAACTTGCTGAGGGTGCATGCTGTGCCATCTTCCAGGTTGTTGATGAAGACAATGAACAAAACTGGCCCCAGGACCGACTTCTGTGGTACTCCACTTGATACTGACTGCCAACTAGACATTGAGCCATTGACCACTACCCTCTGAGCCTGCTGCTCCAGCCAGTTTTCTATCCACCTTATAGTCCATTAATCCAGCCCATACTTCCTTAGCTTACCTATGAGAATATTGTGGGAAATTGTATCAAAAGCCTTGCTAAAATCAAGGTATACCACATCCATTGGTCCCCCTGCATCCACAGAGCCAGTCATCTCATCATAGAAGGCAATCAAGTTGGTCAGGCATGACTTGCCCTTGGTGAATCTATGCTGACTGGTCCTGATCACCTCTCTCTCCTCCAAATGCTTAGAAATGGATTCTTTGAGGATCTGCTTCATGATTTTTCCAGGGATTGAGGTGAAACTGACCTGTTTGTAGTTCCCTGGATCCTCGTTTATCCCTTTGTTAAATATGGGCAGTATATTTCCCCTTTTTCAATCATCCAGCACCTCTTCCAATCACCCTGAGTTTTCAAGGATGGTGGCCAGTGGTTCTGCAGTCACATCAGTCAACTCCCTCAGCACCCTCTAGTGCAGGCTTGTCCAGCATACAGCCTGTGGGCCACCCTGCAGCCTGCCAAGCCATTTTCTGAGTCCTGAGGTGCTGTGACAGGAAATGAAAGTAAACACTGTTTACATTTGTTCCCACCCCTTGTCCCTCCCTCAGCCCCTCAGCAGCAGGGGGGTGGTCTTTTGGCTGGGGTCCGGCCCACTGGGTGATAAAAAGTTCATGATCTGGCCCTACATTCAAAAAGGTTGGACACCCCTGCTCTAGTGCATCCTGTCTGGCCCCATGGACTTGTATTTGTCCAGCTGTTCTAAATAGTCTCTAAACTATTCTTTAGATGCTGTTGGCTGCTCACCTCCTCCCCAAACTGTGCTGCCTGGTGCAGTAATCTGGGAGCTGACCTTTCTTGTGAAGACAGAAGTAAAAAAGGTACTGAGTACTTCAGCCTTTTCTGCATCCTCTGTCACTAGTTTGCCTCCCCCATTCAGTAAGGGACCCACCCTTTCCCTGATCCTCCTGTTATTACTGACATACTTGTAGAAACCCTTCTTGTTACCCTTCATATTCCTTGCTAGCTGCAACTCCAATTGCACTTTGACCTTCCTGACTTCATCCCAGCATGAAGATGGGATAAGAAGCAATACTTTTTAGGCCTGTGCAAAGTGGCTAGTATTTGCTTTAGCTTTGGATGATTCGGGGGACAGTGATTCGATTTGGTGATTTGAATCACTGTCCTGAAACAATTTGGCTGAATCACCCAGTTCCATCCCTAGCCTGCTCTCCCAGCCCAAGCAATGGCTGCCCCACCCACCCCAGCTCCTGGCACTTTGAAAAAAATAGGCTGGATTCACCCGGTGCGGCTGGGCGGGGGGGCAATCCCCACTGCCCCCCTCTGCTCCACGCTGCATGGGGGGCTCTGCACAAGCCCCGCCTGCTGCCATGGCTGCCTTGCCTGCCCCAGGTCCGGCCCTTTAATCAGGTTGATTTGTTCCTGCACTCTCAGTAAGGCTTCTTTAGAGTACAGACAGCTCTCCTGGACTCTCCTAGAGATCCACAGCCTGCTGCCGCCTCACTGGCGTCTGGGCATTGTATTGTGTATGAAGCTATCTGTGGATTTATATATTCAGGTTGATTTTGATTTCCTCTATTCTTTTTTCCAGCAGGAGTTGCTCCTATAGGTTCTGAAGCCTTCAGAGAAACCCCTAGCACTTTACACCTAGGCCTTTGTTTTAAAGTGTATGGGCACAAGACTATAGGACAGTCTCAGCTGATGAAATTGGGGGCAGGTCTTTGACTTCAGTAGAGCTCTGTTGCTTTGGTCTAGCTGATCTTACATATGCTTTTCAATATATTCAGAGCTGTGCATATCTTGCATTTACCAGTGTGCACTGTGCTTTATCTACCAGCCAAGGAGCATACAACAGGCTTGTGATGCATGCAAGACATGATCACTTGAAAAAAAGCGCCTCCTTAGACTCTGATAAACCGCCTGTCCTTGAAATTAGATTCTCCATTCATTGGAGAAATCATCGTCTTCCTGTCAAAATAGACTCATGTGCATCATAAAACCACCCACTGTAGCACCAGTTCTCCTGCACACATAAGGGAATGAATGAAAGCAGGGCACGTTTCTTGCAATGGTGAATTTTGTTTCACTTCCCAGAGTTATGGAGGATCCTTGTATACCAGGATCAGTGTCAATCTGCTCCGTAGTGGCTGGGCCAGGGTTTGGGGGCCCATTCAGCACACAAGTACTTTTCTCCATGCTCTGGAATGCTGTCTCACAAGAGATCTCTGTGTGCTGCTCTGTAAAGAATGTTTCCTACTGTGTAGAGAACATCTTCTGGCCACCTTCACATATAATCTGTTGAGTCACAAATCTTTGCTGAGGTTCCTCCAGCTTCAGAACTGGAAAAAATACTTCAGAGTAGCTTGACAGTGCAGGGGAATGTTTCTCCCCGACTTGGAAGAACACTCTAGCACATGGCCTGGCTGCTCAGGCTCGGCTGTGGAGCTGGTACTGGCTTTGGAGCTCGGCTTTGGCCATAGGCACTGATCCATCACTCTTTACAGACAGTGGTTTTAGAAAAGCCATTTTTAGGTTAAAAAGTTAGAGTGATCATGGTCATCACATTCTTTTGTATTTGTGAGAAAATGTATTTTTGGATGTGTGCATAGGCATAACTGAATGCTAATACCCCAGGGCTCCTGTCTGGAGTTTATGTATACCACTGAAGTTACCTTCTGAAATAAACTTTTGGGTATGCAACCTTTAAAAGACTAGTGTCCATTGAGTTTTAGGCAGGTGTCCTATTCACTTAGTTAGCAGGCTGGTAAGTAGTCCTTTATTAGTTTGTTGATTGCTCTGTGGAGTCTGCCACCATCTCCACTTCATAGGTAGGGAGATGAAGGTTAGAAGGATCAAAGACAAGATTCCTCACTATGTTTATGTAAATAGTTGTGAACGTTCTCATCATGAAATCATGCAGTCACGAGTAAGTGACAGTATCAGGACAAAAGTAGCAGGCTAACCAGGCAGTATGCTATATATACATTGCCTCTCTCTCCCAGGCCAGATTCCAATGGCCTCAGTTCAGTGCATGTGAGTCAATTAATCCTTTCCTCTTTACCAAAGTGTTTCAAAAGAAAGAGGAGATTTCTTGCGGTAAAACAGCCAGCTTCTCCTATCTCCCTCTAAGCATCTGTAGTTGCCAGGAAAAGTTGATTAGTAGGGCTGTGCAAAGCTTCGGGTGCTGATTCAATTCGGAGGAGATTAGGCCTGATTCAGCGATCAAATCTCCAAATCTGAATTGAATCAGGAGACCAATTAAAAGGTCTGAATCAATTTGAAGCTCTCCGAATCAATTCAGAAAAGATTTGGAGAACTTCAGCGATTCGGGCAGTCCCTGCT